TTTTAAGAGACAGCTCCAGGCTGTTTCATAATACTTTAAGGGCTTGGGGTAATATCAATCAATGCGTATGACTGATCATAAAGCTCAAATTGTTGGTAATCTTTTAATTTCCTTTTCAGTAGCATAAATGTAGTTGAGTATAAGACAATAATCTGAGATTAGTGCTCAAAAAAATGTAAATACCATGAGCTTGAACTCAATGTTGGCCCCAGCCGACAACTCATTGGAGAACTTAACAAAATTAAATTGGTTCGTCACCACGATCTTCAAGGTCTACACCAGAAGGCGTGGCGAGTCGCAGGAAGTGGGATCCTTAAGTCCGCTACAACCAGCTGAGTTGAAGCGACTACTACAGGAGACCTATCCTAGGAGTCGATGACGTAATATCCAATACGTAAACAGATACGTGCCATGAGGACTGTCCAGGCCGTGACTAACGAAAGGGGACGGGCCGAGCTAAGACACTTGGTACGTAGCTGGGAGCTGTTTAAAGGTTTTTATATATATTCGTTATATAGTTTTGCCCCTTTAAGCAGATGAATCTACCAAAAAAAAAAAGAGTGTCGACACTTGGCACGTAGCTGGAAGCTGTTTAAAGGCTTTTTTTATTATAGTTATATAGCTTTGCTCCTTTAACCCGATGAATCTACTAAAAAAAATTGTTGTAAAGCTGAATTTTCGACATTGACAACTTGTTAGAAGAGGTTGACAGCATTGGTCAACTCATTAACAAAGAAGAGACGATGCTCGGCATCAAACAAAAGGCGTAATTTTGAAAGTTGTCGCACTCTATGCTTCAAGCCTACGTATTTTTGATTCTAATAGGAATGTTATAAATTATAGTATTTCAGAGGACTTGTTCGCAATATTCATCTGTTATAGCGATCAGAAGTTAACCAATCTCTGTAATGAGTGTGAGATTGTGCACTTTTGGTGACAAAAGATCGGCTTTCAAGCTCCAATACACTTAAGGGAAATGATAGCTCCTTAATATACTTCCTTTTACAATCTAAGAAACCTTGGGGGTTTGCTAAAGTCGTTCGCAGGGTTTATTCGCTTGGGGACCAGGAGGCAAAGACAAATGTACGTCTTGCCACCTTGTCAAATGAAGTATGGTCACGGGCCCTCATGAAAAATATCCTATGGAATAATAACATTTAGTTAATTTCATCCAAGTGATTGACATTGGTTATGGGCAGAAATCTTTTTGCGGTCACATCCTCTTTGAGAGATTTCGTGAATTGGTGCTCGCACCTTTCACCTGAGCCAATGTTGCGATCTATTATAGGTTTTCTTTATAGTTTTTCGTTAGTGGTTAGTGTTTATCTCTCTCCAGTGGCATCCTATAATACGATGTTTCTTTGAAAACATAAATGGATCTACCAAAAAAAAAATATCAAATCGATTTCTTATATACCACTACGAGGAATCTGTTGATTACAAAAAATGTTGACCCGAGAATCCTCCATTTACTCGATATCTTCACTGGTAGCGAACACAATCAATGTGAGAAATTAAAATAAAGTCTGGTGTGCTGGCAAAAAAAGTACATCAGGAGTTTTCAAAATCGTATCAAAAAGCACAATTTGCGTGTCATAGTTGTTCATGCAATTGAAGATGTTGAATGTGATGGAGAGACATGCAGTGAGCTGGTGATAAAAAAATGAATTCCGCCAAAATTAACAGACCGAATGTGGTAATCAAATTAGTAACTATCACTATTTACAATATTTAAGAGGATTTGTTCCTAATATTGATCTCGTCTTTTGTTCGAATACGTGCTGTACTCAGGTTTTAATAGACAATCTGTGTTTCCTGCATGCTGTTAACTGGTGGCTGTTTTGGACGTCAAAACGTTTGACTCCTTGATCTCACTATGAAAAAGCAGTTTACCTCAACTTAAAGTACTATTTTTTTATCTGAATCACTCGCTGTATTCGGAAGCAATTTTGTCTCAGCGTTATATCTCCGTGTTATGCTACATACCAACAGACATAGATGCCGATCCGCGAATCGACAGCCTGATTTCGCAGCCATACTTTGTTAGGCCGCCGACTGCAAAAATAATTTTTCCCATAAAGACGAGGGTTCGCTTCTTTGTCTCCAAACACTCTTATACCTCTCCATCTTTCACGAACATACGCTTCAACATGATTGCACAAGTAATTTTTTGCTTCCAAATCATCCATTGCGTTTCGGAAATCACCGGGCTCTGCCTCATTGGTTATTTTCTTTTCGTGTTCCTTCTGACGCTTCCAGCTCAGCCTGAGTTTATCGTCATGAACTCCACAGCACTCTGTGTTGATCAACTCCACCTATCCCCCAACGAAGTTGCAACTACTGAAGCTGAAACAGAGAAAACTACCGGAAATCAGGACTTTAGCTTCGTTTCTGTTGAACTGGCTTCTTCTGCTTCTTCTGCTTCTTCTGCTTCTTCTGCTTCTTCTGCCTCTGCTGTTTCTGCAACCACTGGCTTACCAATCACAAACATCAACAGCTTATTCACTATTTCTCCAGCCAGCGACGATAGCTTCTCTGGTTTATCCGATGGCGACACTGATGCTTCTTCTGCAGTCTCTCTTGTTTCAGACTCCAAACTTGTCTCTGCTGGTATTCCTCAGGGAGCCAAAGTTGTGGAGACTGACCAAAAAAACAAAGTTGAGGATCAAAACTGTCAAAATGGACTCGACTCTCATGACAATGGGAGGTTGATGGATAAAGCTGTAAACATTGCTCTGCTGCCTATTGCTAACCCAGATGAATCTGGGTGGCAAATCCAAGGTAGAAAGCGTAGAAACTCTCGTGAAAGGAACGGGAAAAGGACAGATATGGGAAGCCTGAGTGACATGGTCACTTTTGAGAAGATCCGTCTTCATAAGCCAGAAAGCACTGCTCCCAAATCCATGCTCTCCAATAATCCTTTCCTGGTCTTGGCCAATATTGGCGAGGACGACTATCAGAAGCCATACTCGAAAAGACAGTGCGAGACAGTTCCAGTCATTCGTACTCTTGAGTGCCCTCTTTATGACGAAACCACTCGTTCCAGTGCCTTCAATTTTGTGGACTTTGAAGTGGGCTCTCACAAAGTCCAGATTGAGGAAACAGTTGCGAATGATAAACTGGATATTGCTCAAGACTCTGCCCAAGCCTCTAATCAAGACTCTGCCAATGACTCTGCCCAGACTCCAGTTTTAAACTTGAAGAAAGTTGAGACTCCAGTTGAGCTGTCTGCTACTCCTGAACCTGATGCCTTTGACGCTGGATGGCAAGTCCAGGGCAGAAAACGTAGAAACCGTCGCATAAGACCGACAGAAAATTCTGTTGTGACAGCTTCGGAAAGTGCCTTGAAGATACCTGTGGTCAAACCCAGTTTTATTCTGAATCCTTTCCAGTTATTGTCTGAGATAGGTGATGACGATTTCCAGAAACCTAGACCAAAAAGACAAAGGAAAAAAGAATGTATCACAGCCGCCTTATTAGAAAGTTCTAAGGTTGATGTGGTACCAATTCTCTTTTCACCTGCTGGACTAATGGAAGACTTGGCGGAGGACAATCGGAACAAAGCAACACAATGTTCAACTGAGAAACTACTCACGACAGAAATCCTCACAACGCCCCTCGAGGAAAACAGTAGCAAAGACTCTGCAGAAAAACTTTCAGTGATCACTGTTGATACTACTTGTGATAATAATATTGATGAAAAGCAAGCCAGGGTTTCTGAGCCATATCAGGCTTCTGGTTTGCCTTTAGATATGTCCCGAAAAAAGAACACCGCCACTATCCACGATGATTTTGACTTGTCTCGCTTACGCAGGCACCTGAAGCACAAGAGACAAACAAGAAGCATCCCCGTATCTGTCTCGGTGAAAAATGACTGTTATATGCCCACGTTTGCACCAGCATATACGTGCCAATTTAATTCTGAGACAACAGAACAAAATGAAGGGTGGCAAGTGCAAAGAAAAAGACTACTGAGGGGATCTCGCCTGCTTGTGAACCATAGCTTGCATTCCAGCAGGGCGCCATCCTCGACTTTAGGTCCTGTTGAAAAGGTCTCTCTCCTTGATAGCTATGGCGGAATGGAGCCCATACCTGAAAATATTGTCATCTTGTACAAGAGAAAACGAACAGATGGTCTTTGAATTTTGGGCTTGACACCTATCTGGTCGATGAAGGTGTTAGACTTAATTATCGATCTTGTCTTCATGAAAAAAAAAGAACGAAAATGATAAAAAAAATTTAAAACATAAAAAAAAACAAAAAAAACACTCTTATATATCAATAAACAATATTTTCTGTGAGAAAACCATACAGTTCAGCAGTGGAATTGTAAGACTGAGGGGAGAAAAAAGCATATTATAATTTTCTCGAAAATACATGATGATGAAACTCTGTGATGTCTCGCACTCATCCTTTGATTATTCTTGTCTCTCCATGGTTTCTCCCCGTCTATTAACGTGATCATATAAATAAGGTAGATGTGTTTTCCTGCGTTATTTCAAAGAAGTCAGTGATATATATGAGAACAAACATGCATGTTGTTCGAAGTCTCTTTCAAATACAAGCTAATTGATTGAGTCGTATTTCAAGTGATGATAGAACCGTGAAACAAGTAACCATATAGGGAAAAAAGTTGATGATGATGGGGCGGGTACTAAAAGCGCAATACTAATTGTACAAGACCTAACAAAATAGATCTTCAAAATAACGTAAGTCATATTATATCTGACCCACATAATTCATGCTCAAGACAACACTATTCATGCTAGTGGTGAACCTTTCCGTTCACTGCGGACGAAACAAAAAAATATACATAAAGTACATGGACACGTGGTTCTTATCTTCAAGATCATAAATGATCTTAGGAAGCTACCAAACTGCGGCCTTGCATGTTTTCCTCAAACACCACATTAAACTCAGCAACAAATCCAAAGGCATTGATAAAACTTCAACGCTCGTAGTAGGCTTGCGATGCAACTAGGGTGCCGATCAACGCAGGTATTTCACATTCGAAAATTAAACGGCTTAAACTTGAAAGCAAAATTTATCAAGATATAACTAGCATCATGAATACGTATATTTATCTTGGAAAATAGTTCAAAAGACAAAACTGGGGTTCCACCTCAGACAGCTGTAATATGCAGATGCTAGCGATTGTTCCCATCAAGTTGCTCGCCCGTACCCCGCAATCTGGATCAGGTTTCACACCACGTCTCACCTTTAAAAGAAGGTATATGTAATCTTTTCTTGCCGAGATATGCCCAATTATATAAAGGGTGATTTGTTTTCTCATTGCGGTAGAGCAACGGTTGTTTTGGCACACGCTTGTAATCCGTTTGGCCTGTGGGGAGGAGGCATAGCTTCCCAGTTTCGGAAAAAGTACCCATATGCCAACAAGCTTTATGAGGACCACTGCAAAAAACACCAGAACCTCCTTGGAACATGCTTGTTGATCCCTGCTTCCAAGCCCCAGGATTTAGAAGAGGCAAATATTATAATTGCGTGTCTCTTCACTAGTGACTTTCAAAGCCTACAAAGTGAAACTCTTGCCCATACCCGACTGAGCGTGGACAGTCTCTCGAGTCAGCTACAAACCCTCAATAACGTAGAGAAAACAGAATGTGGGATACCCGTTGTCAATATGCCGCAGATCAACAGCGGGATCTTTAATATTCCGTGGGAAAAGACAGAGGCGGTCTTGGCTGGTTTCAGACTGATTCGGATCAACGTATATACTCTTTAGCTGACACATTATATTTTCTATAAGAAACTCACCGAGCATTACACACTGCTAACAATCTCGCTGGCGTTTCTCAACACCTCTACCATCTTCAAGCACTCCTTTCTCTTCTGCACCGTGAGATCATTCTCCTTGACCAAGTCTGCCAAGTCGGGAGCGCTGTACAACTTCTGTAACAACTCCTTCTGGATGTCGTCCTTGGATCTGGTGATCAACTTCAACATGATGGCCTTTGGCACAAGGTCTGCCACGGTTCTTTGAACGATGCTGTAATACGAGGCAATCAAGAGCTTGATGACCTCAGTCTCCATCTGCTCGCGCTCCGTCATTGTTCCAGTAGCACGCAAGACTGGGGGAGGAGCCTCCATCTGCTGCAATCTCTTTTTGTTTTTAGACGAGAAGAAGCCGCCAAAGAATCCGTTCGTGTCTTCTTTGCTGGCAGACGGCGCCGGGGTGGGTTGTTGTGAGGGTGGCAATGGCTTGCCAGACTTTGGGTCCACGGCGACTTGCGGCTTGGGGTGGAACTTCTCCTCGACAATGACCATTGCTTGGGAGCCCTTCAACAAGTCAGGATGCGCAGTGTTGACGTAGGTTTCTTCCGAACTGATGATGTCTTGAACGAACTTGTTTGTTGGGATCAAGGCGTCGCGCAAGAATTGGAGGAAGCACTGGGACAACCTCTCCTTCAACGCAGGATAGCGGGAATACTGGGGGTTGCTGATGATCTGCGACAAGATTCTGGCCAACTCGTCGAAAATCAAGTTGACGCAGCGCAAGGTGGGGTCTTCCATGCGGCGGATCTGCTGCTTGACAAGCACCTCGAAAGCCTGGGTCCCCACGAACAACGACGGGGCGGAGCCCGAGGTGTTGTGCATGATGGTGCGGATGTCCGCGTCCTTGATCTGGTCGAAAGGATCGAGGGCCTGGATTCCGTTCTTGAAGATCTCGTGGAACACGAAGGAGATACGCGCGCCGCCGCTCAACTCGTGCGAGGACAACTCCTTGGCCTCGCCGTTCAAGATCTCGTTGTAGTCTCTGGAGAAGTTGGTGATCATGTTCAAGGCAATGGACGTAGGGCTCTCCTCGAGCTCGGGGCCCAACACGGTCAACTCCTGCGAGTACTTCTTCAAGGAGTGCTCGATGCGCATCTTGATGTCCGGCAAGGTGCTCTTGATGTGGTGCAACAAGATGCCGTTCAACTTCTTGGCCAAGTACGGCGTGCCGCAGAACTGGGACTTGGCCTTGTAGGAGGGGTGGTTCTCGAAGAAGCTGGCCTCGTCGCGCAACGCGTCGCGGATGGTCTTCTTGGCCTCGATGTCGCGCTGGCCGCGGTTGATGACCGGGATGTATCCGAACCTCAAGGGAATGACCCTGCCGGCCAAGATGTCCACGACGTCCGTGCCCTGGTCCATCAAGTCCACCTTGGTCAACACGCCGATGGTGCGCGAGCCCTCCGGGTCCACCTCGCGCGCCAACTTCAAGCCGTCGGAGTTGGCCAAGTCCGTGTTGGAGGCGTTGACGGACAAGATGATGGCGTTGGGCTTGGTGATGTACTTCATGAGCATGTCCCTGATCTGGCGCTCGATGTCCTTGGGCTGATCGCCCACGGGCACCTTCGTCAAGCCCGGCAAGTCCACCAACGTCAACGTCAACACGTGCGGCGAGTAGATGCGCAAGTTGATGGGCACGGCCGAAATGCCCAAGTTCTTGCCCGTCTTGGCGTCCGTCTCGCGCACAATCTCCTCGCGGATCTCCTCGAAGTTGTAGAACCGCTTGTTGGGCAAGTGCAAGAACTCGCCCCACTCCTCCAAGTTGTTTTCTGACGCGTCGCCCTTGTCGTCGAGCAAGTTGACCTGGTCCTGGTCCAGCTTCTTGACGCCTGGTCTCTTGTTGAACAACTGCAAAACCAACGGTCTTCTGGTGACAATGCCGGTGCCGCGCGGCAAGAAGTCCCTGCCGACGATGTTCTCAAGCACCGACGACTTGCCGCTGGACTGCGAGCCCACCACGGTGATCTGGGGCAAATCCACTGGTGACGACGAGCCGCCGCCTAGCGGCGCCAACGCGTCCTGTAACTTGTTGATGGTCGAGATCAAGGTTTCGTCCATAGTGCGGCTTGTACTGGGAGCGGGATTTTATGGGAAGAACAGGTGTGGTTGGTGTTTTTGGATGGGGGCCTAAGCTTTGTGTGGAGCTTGCGGTGCCAGCAAGGGCACTGGGTCGGGGCGTGCGCGCACCGAAAGGCCGGGCGATAAGCGGTGTCTTGGGCGAGGCGCAGTGGAACATGGGTGCGACGGCTGCAAACGGTGGGTGCGGGTGGGGATACGCCCATGGATCTTGGGATCTTCTGGGTGCTGTATGGTTTGGGTTTGTGGGTGGTGCTGGGTTGGTGTTTGTGGGCCTCTTTGGGGAATAGTTGCTGGCGTATTTGGATTCTTCGTTGACCTCTATTTTTCAATTCTTTGTTGGCGTCTTTGACTTCTTTATTAGCTTCTTTGGTGGCCTCTCTGTTAGTATCTTCGTTGACCTCTGTATGATAACCTCTTCGATGACTTCTTCGTTGACCTCTTCGTTGACCTCTATTTTTCAATTCTCTGTTGGCCTCTTTGTTGACCTCTCTGTTGACTTTCGTTGACTTCTTCGTTGACCTCTTTGTTGACGTCTTTGTCGGCTTCTTTGTTGGCTTCTTCGTTGACCTCTTTGTTGACCTCTTTGTCGGCTTCTTTGTTGGCTTCTTCTTTGACCTCATTTTTCAATTCTTTGTTGACTTCGTTGACTTCCTCTTTGACTTCTTTGCTGACTTCTTCTTTGAACTCTTTATGTTGACCTCTTTGTTGGCGTTTTGACTTCTTTATTGGCTTCTTCTTTGACCTCTTTTTTCAATTCTTTGTTGACTTTGTTGACTTCCTCTTTGACCTCTTTGCTGACTTCTTTTTTGAAATCTTTATGTTGACCTCTTTTCTTTAATTCTTTTTTGACCTCTTTGTTGGCTTCTTCTTTGACCTCTTTATGTTGACTTTTCTTTTGGCTTCCCCGTTGACATCTTTCTTGACCTCTCGAGTATATCGCTCCTAGACCAGGACATCTGATCCTTTTCATATCTCCGGTGAAATCTTTCTTCGGCCCTTTACTTGACTTTTTCTGGAGCTCTCACTGTACTGCTTCACTCGGCTTCTCTGCTTGATTTCTGTACTTGGGTTGTTTTTGATATCCTTTTCTCTCTATCTTCCAGTCTTTGCTCGGCCTATCTCCTATCAAGACTGCGAATTGTAAGTTAAAGACCTACTATTGGGAGCCACCCCAATGTAGCCTTCCAGATTACTGAACGTGTTTTTCTGTTCCCTATTGGGTCTCATGCTTATTATATCAAACTTATGTTTTTGTTCCCGTTCGGTCTCATGCTAGAGTTTCCATTCATTCTCCCTGGCCTATTTTTTGGTCTCTTTAACCTCATTTCTATCCCACATGACCTGTGCATTCAAGGCCTTTTAGTTTGACGTCTTTTCTTTTTTTGCTGACTTCTTTTCAACTTCTGTTGAGAATCTCTCATTCATATGTTTTGATCCATTCATCCTAGTCTTAAGTGGGCCTTGTATTACGGCCTCTTACTTAAATTCTTCAAACGCTTCCGCTTGATTTCTTCGTTCCAACCTTGATCCCTAAACCATGCCTCGGCTTTGAGCTCTGCGTCTTATTCATTGCTCTTTTCTGCTATCTGCTTCAGGCTCAGACACTAAGGAGAAACACTGGGTCTTGGCTTATCCTACGACCCTTTGCCTTTTTCGAGTGATAAGCCAGTATTCTGTCGTCTTTTCCAACATTTTCACTAAAGACTCACGGGTATGTATGTTGGCTTTCTCAACATAGCATGCTATTACGGCCGCCGAATTGGAATTTCTTGAAAAACTTGTTTACGTAAACTCAATGTCTCCACAATCAACCAGCGCCTTTTTTTCTCAACTGAGGATTCCAAAATAGCTCTTTCCTGAGGCGATCAGTCCATGCAAAAAGACCAAACCATGCACCAAGGTTCCGAAGATATAAGATGTCATCATCTTCGAAGCGCCCAAAGATTCTTCTCTTTGCCCCGATGACCACAAATAACACACGAGCACATAGAACTGGTCATAAAGAAGTGCTGATACCATTCGCTACACCATTGACGAGCCTAGCTTTATATGAACATCCATTGATACATATATGTGTGCCCATTGAGAGGAAAATAGTAGAAAACCCTAGCTGCCAGCGCAACTCTCCTGTTCACTGAGGAACGTAGTTTTCCAAGAAGCTTTCACTCGCAGTGTAGCTGAACCCCTCGAAAAGATGATCCACATCAGGACCCTGTACATTGCTCCCGTCATACTCGCTCATTCTCATCCCCGTGAACTCATCGGAAAAGTTCTCTGCCAACGCGGGGTTGGTGATCAGTGGAACAAGAGGAGGCTTAGCCTCCTGGTCCTCCAAAGCGCCCCAATTAAGTTTTCGGAAAAACCGATGCTTCTTGAAAGCCGCCCATCTGTCGTCCACCGCCATCCGTTTCTTGGGGTCCTTCCTCAAGAGTTTGCTCAAAAGGTCCTTGGCATCCAACGAAAGATAAAAGGGGATCAAGGGGTCGGACTTCAAGATTCTCTTGCAGATTATCTTGCTATTGTCGCCTGTGAATGGAGGCCTGCTCGTCAACATGTCATACATCACACAGCCCAACAGCCACCAGTCCACCGCGTAGCCATAGGCAAGTCCTTTCAAGATTTCGGGGGCCATGTATTCTGGTGTGCCAATGATCGAGTGACATGCAGAGTCGTGGTCGTTGCCGACGTTCTTGGAAAGTCCGAAGTCTGTGAGGACAAGGTGGCCCTTGGAATTAAGAAGACAGTTCTCGGGCTTCAAGTCCCGGTACACAATGCCCAACAGGTGGAGATGCTTGAGCCCTAACGCCATTTCTGCAATGTAAAACGCCACGTCTTTCTCAAGAAACACGTTGCCAAGCTTGTTATTCACGGTCAAGTGGTGGAAAAGCTCTCCCCCCGGAATATACTCAAGCAAAAGATAGAACTTGCCCTCATCCTGGAGGGCGTAGAAGAGCTTGACTATGCTTTTGTGGTGAGTGATCTCGCTAAGAATCTGTCTCTCGGCAATGGTACGACGGACGTGGTTTGCAGCCACCTTCTCCTCGTGCAGCGCATTGGGGTCCACCGCGGGGAAGTCCGCCAAGTAATCCACCGAAGGCTTGTACTCAAAAACATCGACCTGGGGCTTCCGGATCTGCTTTTGTGCGTAGAGTTTGCCGTCCAGCCGGTCTTGCACCAAGTGTACTTTCCCATATGCGCCCTGGCCCAACACCTTGAGCGGCTTGAAATCGGCCAAGCACTTTTTGGGGGCAGCGGCACTTTCCTCCTCGGGAGCACTATCGAAGTCTGCCGGAATTGCAATTCCCCCGCTGTTTGGGGCGGATGAACGCACCAGGACCCTTCTATAGATCGTTGATCTTCTTCTACTAGGCGGAATGGTGGTACACACAACGTCGGCGTCTGGGGTTTCGTTCTGCACAGGGGCCGGGGAGTCGGCTTCGAAGCCAATCGAGCCCAAATCCGAAGCAAGATCTTCGTCGTCAAATTCGAAGAGAGGCATTTCGAAATACGCGAAGTGGAGCGATGTCTAAGATTGAAAGAATGTGATTCGGAAAACAAAAACCTGGGGTTTTTCTGTCCGAAAATCGCCCCCTTTTATGTTTGTCGGTTTTTTGTTATACCGCCGACCAGAAATTTGGCCACCTAGTAGAATTCTGGTATGTTGAAGCTCATACGGAGAAAAGTATCTGCCAATAAGCCCGCGATGACCGAGTATTCAGAAAACGCGTGGCCTACTACAATCGGGCTCGCCAATAGGATAGTCCCGACTGGAAAAAAACGGAGGCTAGAAATAAAACTCTGGCACGTCTAGAAATCGTTGTTTCTGCACGGGGGTTTTTGTCGGAGTTATTTTGGCGGAGTGTTTATTTCAACTTGAGGAATCTTGACGCATGGTGTATTTGCCTTTTGAAGGGCTTGGTTTATATATATCAGGAAATAATTAGGCACTGGAAGAAAATACAAACGTCTAGTTTCGAAGTGTAAAATCGGATAATTATTTTACGGACACCGGAGTGCTACGCGCTGACCAGATTCAATGACTGTAAACATACAAGTAAGCTACAGCATAGGCACCACGAAAAAAAAAACATGGCGGATGTTTCATTCTCCTACATGTTATGTTCGAATGGATATTTTGTCTGCTCGCTTAAGCCACGCCGCGTCTCGTCTGCGCATGTCTCACTTTGGCAACCGACCACTAATCATCGAAAAAACAACAGTTTGTCCTTTGAAAAAACCTGAAGCTATGCCAGGCTCACGTTTTTGGAGAAATTGTCTAACAACATTACGTAAAGTTCTCAAAATGTTATCCTGTGTCCGCCATGTCTGGCCACACTGCGTGTCGGAAACATGACTCAGAAAATTTCGCATGAGATGTGGGGCGAGTCAACCAAGATTTATTCTTGCGCCCAAAATTTCAATAACAGATTAATATTTCGCTTTTCAGAAAATTGAGAGCTTGTGCGGCATCCTGGAAGCTTGCCAAATTCCACTACCATCTCAAGTCGTGTTGCAAGCCGGCTGCATCTGAACTTTGCTCGTGCGCCCACCATACGAACGATCATTTTTTCCCCTCAGTGAAAAATTCAGAGCACGAATTTTTTTTCAGAGACGTTTTTTTTCCCAGCTTAATCAGAAAAGCAAGCAAAAAACACATCTCAAGCACAGCCAAAGTAACCTGACTTAAGTCTTTGTGTATTTGGCTTTCTTTCAACACGAGCAAAAATAAAACGATACACAAGGCCGGGTTTTTTCTTCACGAACAAATCAACTGCCCTAGTTTCACCTGTTCAGCTTCTGAGCTTTAGTGGTTTATGCCTAAGAAACCCTCACGATCGGACTTTATCCCCAACAAACTTCTTGAACCTGGATAACAGAACCTACACTTTTGTTTCTATTCTAACTTGCTTGCCTCGTGCCTTCTTGCAGTTCCAAAACCCTGTTTCTAAGTTTTTCACTATCGGTTGTCGACCCTCCCCCTTCCGCCTTTAGTGAAAGAACTTACTACCTACTCGGCTCGCTTCGTTATATCTAAGCGAATAGTCAGTCACCGCATTTGCTTGTTTTCTTCTAGCTGCAATACCCTTTGATTTCTTGGAGACGTTTCTTGCTACTTCTCTTTTCGTTTCCAAGTTTCACTGAGAGCACAACCCAATCTTTCCCACAAGAGCAAGTTTCAATCCACCTCGCCGTCACTAGGAATTGCGATTGCTAGTTCTCTTCGGATCATCATCTCCTGAACATCTCCTGGACCCTCTTCCATTGGCTGATAAATACCCTGACACGAATTACTACATGGTTGCTCCTGCCTACTCCCAAGATACCTATGTCGACCATGACTTGTCCACAAACTTGGACTCGACGTTTGCCTTTGAAGGGCCAGAAAAGCTTCTCGAAGTGTGGTTCTGGCCCTCGCCCGACCAAATCCCAGACACCGTGTCCAAGGAGGGATTGAGGGCCATTCCCTTGGAAAAGTGGAAAGCCATTTTGGACTTGGTCAACTGCAAAGTCTTGTCCATGAAGTCCTCGGCTGCGTTGGATGCCTATTTGTTGCTGGAGTCGTCCTTGTTTGTGTTTCCACACAAAATGATTTTGAAGACGTGCGGAACCACCACCACATTGGCATGTATTGATGAAATCTTTCACACTGCACGCTCGCACATTGCGGTTGACAACAGTTCTCTTGAGCACTTGACTTCTCAGTCGGCTTTCAAGGTGTTTTACTCGCGCAGATCGTTCATGTTTCCCGACAGACAGATCCACGTCCACACCGACTGGAAAAACGAGGTGCAGTTGCTCAACCGCCACTTCAAATGCGGAAAGCTGTATGTTGTTGGTGACTTCACGTCCGATGACCACTGGTATTTGTATATGGGTGGCTGTGGCAACACCAGACAGACCAGAGGCCACGGTCATGACCAAACATTCGAGATCTTAATGACTCGTTTGGATCCGGCCAAGACCAAGCAATTTGTCACCGAGCGTAAGCCAGGTGACACCCCTGCCACCGAAGACGACGATCTTGACTTGGGTCATGACCTCGGTCTCGCAACAATGGCCAGCTCCACTTTGGACGCGATCTTCAGGCCCGACTCGGCCCTGGCCAATTTGCCAATAGACACGGACTCGTACGCCATTCCCTCGCCGCAATTGAGCGACTCGATGGAGATGTCAGACGATGAGGTTTTCCCCCAGCCATCTGGGATCAAGTTCATCCATGATGCCTTCTCGTTCACGCCTTGTGGGTTTTCTTCAAACTCGGTGAGCCAAGGGCCAGAGGGTTTCTACTACACGCTTCACATCACCCCTGAGGCAGGCTGGTCGTATGCGTCCTTCGAGACAAACTACCCATTCAGCCTGTGCAAGCGGGTTGATATTGTGAACGTCTTGAAAAAGGCATTGGCCGTTTTCCAACCAGGCAAGTTCTCAATGACGTTGTTCAGCGACCAACTGTGCAAATGCAACGGCAAGCCAAACAACCCGTTTGCAAAGTTGGCTGCGTGTGACACGGAATTGAGCAAGTTGGGCTACAACAAGCAGGAGAAAGCAGTCTACGACTTGAAAGGAGAATACGACTTGTTATACTTGAACTTCGAAAAGCAGTCTTAAGCAGACCGCCAGCATGACTGCCCGGTCCTAAATCTTGGGGGATATCAGAACCACTTAGCTGGTTGCAAAAGATGATCGTCGGACATGGCATTCTTCAGAGGTGGTGTTTGCCATGTGGTCATCGGCAGTATGCAGTTCTGATACATTATTTAGACCGCAAATCAAACCCTGGCTCTCTTAAGGAGACGCTTATTGCATCTTAGTTACTTTCAGAAATACACTTCAGTTGTCTAGACAAACGGCGAGAGCCCTGATAATTGGCCCAAGCCAGAGATGCAGGTTGTGGCAGACGACGAATCACGAGCCGCGACTTCCACATCCTGAAAGGCCAAGACAGCACGCGCAGCTACTTGCAAAAAAAAGGACGGTAAAATGAAGATAAGTTTATCGGAAGTATAGGTATATACATGATAGATCTTGCTAAACTTAGAACTTCTTGCCGAACAAGATGACTTGCAATTGGTCGTACATGGAGATGACACCGGCACCGGCAACACCTCTCAAGATGTTAGCACCGCAACCCTTGAACAAGGAAGGGATACCCTCAGCAGCGACAACCTTCTTGAAACAGTCAAAAGCACCGTCGTACTTGACGGCTTGACCGGAGGTCATCATCATTCTTCTTCTAACAGTGTCCAATGGGTAAGAGGCAGTGGAGGCACCAGTGGTGACAGTCCAACCCAACAAGAAAGAGGCCAAGAAAGAACCCTCCAATGGGCCAACCAAAACAACAGGCTTCAAGGAGTCGTACAAACCGAAGTACAAACCTCTGTACACAACAATACCAATAACAGATGGACCGAAACCTCTGTACAAACCAGCAATACCGTCGGAGGCCAAGGTCTTCTTGTAGACGTCCAACAAACCGTTGAATTGTCTGCCCTCACCACCCTTGGTGGACTTGGCGTCGTTGGCCAATCTGGTTCTGGCGTAGTCCAAAGAGTAGACGAAAGCCAAAGAGGTGGCACCAGCCATACCACCGGAAGCCAAGTTACCGGCGAACCACTTAGCGTAGGACTCCTCCTTCTTGAAACCGAACATCTTCTTGAACTTGTCCTTGAAAGCGAAGTTCAAGGCTTGGGTTGGGAAGTATCTGACAACGTTGGCGGTGTTACCTCTCCAGAAAGAAGAGACACCCTCCTCGGCGGCGGTTCTCTTGAAGCACTCAACGATACCGTCGTACTTCTTGGCCAAACGACCTTGCTTCATCATCTCGTCTTGGTTTTGAATCAACAATTTGACTCTCTCAATTGGAGCGGCGGCGGTCTTAGAGACGGCGGCGGAGACACCGCCCATCATGAAGTCGATGAGAAAGGAGTTGTCAGACATTGTGAATAGGTGTGGAGAAAGAGATCTACAAGAGGAAAAAAGAGAGTGCGCGGGCAGACGCCGGATCTGTTTCGTTTATATATGTGAGGGTTTAGGTTTTTTTTTCCGTTTTTTTCTTTGATCCCGCGACATTTTGCTCGGTCCCTGCGCGGAAAATTTTCACTTTCGCGCTGTTTACTATGGCACGGGCGCGGCCCGGGGCACGTGACCCGGCGAATGTCGGGGCCTTCTGCTCACTCTCATTGGCTGGCTGGTCCAGATGCGCGGCTCCATGCAGGTCTGGCGACGTTCTCGTCAAAAGTTGGATGTAGCCAATTGGGTCTGGCTATTGGGTGTGGCCCTGGGGCCTGGCGACGCGACACCATCTCGGTGACGCGACACGATTCGTGGTCAGCGCCTTATCTAAAGGGGCGGGAGATATATGTATACGCAGTTTGGCTCCGCAATTCTTTTCGTGTTGTAATCTATTAATTTCATCTTTTTTTAGGAATAGGTTAGTCTATCAATCTGCCTCGTATTTTCAGAGCTGTTTTTTCATGCCGGAGTTGGTAGACCTACAGGCATGAGGGTGGACTTGGGCGTTTCGAAATGCGGCGCCGTGGACAACGATTTCTATGCGGAAAGATCACATTCACTGTTTGATTTTCTTTCACGTCTTCCTATACTATGAATGCCGGTTTGTACGGGAGCCGTTTATTCGAGCATCTTGAGATAAAAGTCATTACAATGAGTTTCAACGCTTGAATATGCCAAGCAATAACCGGGCTGGGTTTTCTCCATCAGTCCTCAATTAAGACTCCCACGGAGTTACCACATCTGTTCTGCGGGAGTGCCACAATGATCCGTTACCTGCAGGACGGAATAATGTCCCACTTGGACCTCGAAAGAGAGGTGTTGCGTCCGTGTATTGATGTTCTTTCTATCCTACTAATTCTGCATATGAGAGTAAGGAACATGAGTTTCGTGTCTCAAGTCTTTTCTTGTTCCTGACGAGCCCATCAATTTTAGAGAGACGCGCGAACCACATACAACAAGCGCTAATTTTCTTTTCGATTGATGTCATCAATTTCATACACACTAAAGCTCTATAAATTTGCCATATTCTTTTCCGGTACTTCCTTGGAAAACTTCTTATTTCCTTTTCATATTTTTTTTTTCTTTGATTTGCAATATTAGGTAAGAATTCTTATGTTTCGCCGAACACTAGTGCTCTGCCCTGGCCTCATTCAAAGAGTTCACCGTAGTCATTTCATGGAAATCAAGCGACGTTCGAATCCTGGACGACCGTTTTTTGCCGTTCAGACCGGAGGCCATGTCATCCATAAGTATGTCTTCTGATGAGTTCACCTTATCAAGGGGCGTTGTGCTCCACCGGTTCAAATTGTAGGTGTCGATGATTGACGAGTTGTCATTATAATACGACGTGGTGACACCTTGGCGACGAATAATATCGTCAGCCAGAATCAGGTCTTTGCCTGAAGTGCCTGTGCTCATATCTGGCGTGCCACTTGAGCGAACAAGAGTCAGTTCTTTATCGCTGATTGAGGGGTCATCCACGTTTTCTCTATTGGGATCAGTTGGATCATAATTTTTGGGGTACTTGTCAAATTCTCCTCTCTGCACACATTCCCGTATAATGTCCGAATCTTTGGGAAAGTAGAACTTTTGGAGAATATCGTAAATTCCCCGAGGTAAAAGACATACAACAATGCCAATGGCCAAACAAGACCAATACATAGCCAGCCCAAACATTATTCGGCCCACCTGGTAAAATTCTTCTGACCAGGTTCCTGCGGTCCAAATTCCTGTCCAGGCAAAAATCACCAAGATGGAGAACAAATGGGCAAGAAAAGAGAGATAGTCCCATCTATACTGATGCATCCACACGTACAGATTGGCACTAATACACGAGATGCATGTGACCAACATTCCCACATAGAACCGGTGGTCGGCGCCCAAGCCATTCTCAAGCTGGAAAGTCTGGCAATATGTCCAGTAGGGAAAAAAGAATGAGACAAACGACTGATAGAGTCCATCAAATGCATATATCCAGAAAGCTGTCTCTGTAAACTCTGTCCGCATTATTCCAGCGCGGTAAAGCTCTGGAACAATCATTGAAACTTTGGCACTCACATCTTGGTCAAAAACAGCAAGGAAAATAACCGGTAATGACGTGAAAGCCAAATTATAAAACATGATGTATGTGAACTCAAATAAGTATGAGCCATCAAAGTTGTTGAAGAGACTGTACCAAAACAACGCAAAAGTGTAATTGATGTTTTTGAAGAAGAAACTGGGGATCATTTCAGCGAACCTCTTATAAGACCATCTTCCGTGGGTCAAGAGAAGTCGTGTCAAGAATCTGAACTGACCAAGAGCATAGTCGGAAGACATTGCAGCTTGTCTCCCCTCCTCACCAGCGATACCAATACCGACATCTGCGGCTTGGATCATGGCGACATCATTTGATCCATCTCCAATGGCTAGTGTCATCACATCCAATGTGTCCTTCACCATTTTCACAACAGCCGCTTTTTGAGCAGGAGAAACACGGCAACACAAAACCGCACGACACTGCTTGCATAGAAGTAAAAATTTTCGTTTAATTTCGGGATTAGCCAACGCTAGTTTCAAGGCATCCCCATCAATGACCACTCCAAACTTTTCGTTTGGTGCAGAGTGGTCTTTTGCAGCATGCTCCAATTCCTCTTGAGAACCAGTCATTGAAAAATGTTCGTCCAAATAGCCATCGATCAATTTCTCAATGATTGTTTCCTCTCCGTCATCATGAAGAATATCGTGCTTGCTTCTATCTTCCTCCAGCACATCTGTTTTCAAAACTAGAAGATCCATATCATTTCCAAGTAGATTACAGGAAAACCCGATATTAATTGCTGTTTCAACTTTGTCACCAGTTAGGACCCATAACTTGATTCCCGCATTTCCAAGAATAGAAATGGATTCCGGGACTCCATCCTGCAATCTGTCTTCAATGGCGGTGCCACCCAACAATACTAATTCTCTTTCAATCGAGTCGGCGACAGCTTCCACCCGAGCATCGCGATCTGTCAATGACGAGGACGCTTCCAAGTACTTCGTGTTCCAAGCTTGGTATTCAGACCATGTAAGTTCCCTTTTGGCAATACACAACGTTCTTAAGCCTTCAGTAGCGTACTCTTCCAAATGACGCGAGGTCTTGTCAAGAAAACTAGCATTGTTGTTACCCTCCGAGAGTCTGGAATAAATAATTGAATCCGCTCCTTTACAAAAAAGGACAATCTTGGGCTCTTTGTCGGCGTCAGCACCGGGGATCTTCACGATGGCGCTCATTCTTTTCCTTGTGGAATTGAACTCAAGAGTATTGAGGACTTGATATTCTCGTTTTTGACCCTGAACACGAACAACATAGCCTCTCTTGGTTTTCCCTGCGAAGACGAAACCTAAAGACCGAGCTGTTCCGACCAAAGCAGCTTCATCTGGAGACTGAGCCTTCAAAATCATTTTCTTCGAATCCTTTGGATCTTCCTCGACAAGAACAGAATGACACAAGGATAAAGCAAGAAAAAACTCCTCATTGTATGCTTTTTGAGCTTCGTCCGAAGCTCCCTTGAGGTCCTGGACCAATTCTTTGGACACAAGAGTAGCGTCGCTATCGTATATATTTGCTGAAATTGATCTCAAATCTCTGAGCATTTCATTGCGGTCGTTGGCAATGGCTGCCTTTTCGATTCTTGCTTCCTCCTCGACATTGTAGCCCAAACGTCTTCGTAGTCCAGCTAATGCCTCAGTATATGCGCGTCCATAAGAAACGCCGTTGATAGTGCATTTTCTAAACTCCATGAGATTTTGTGTCAAAGTGCCTGTTTTGTCGCTGAAAATATATTCGACTTGGCCCAAGTCGTCTGAAATTCCCCAAGATCTTGGAAGACAGGGGAAGTTCAACTTTTCGTAATATAGTCCCAAGTCTGCATGAATGAAATAAGCTTGCAATGACTTGATGATTTCAATGGTGATGTACAATGAGATCGGAACCAATGATTGATACAAGATGAGGGCAACAAAGAAATTGACGAGACCGTTTTTGAAGGGAGACCCTGCGATTGTGCCGAATTCGAAATAATCCCGAGACGTGTTTGATTCGCGGTAATAAAGCCCACTCGCTAGCCCTGAGACGAAGCACATGACAAATAGTATGACGAAGTTGATGATAACGTAGTAGTTTAGTTGTCGCGAAATACGGGACTTTTTTGACGGGGTGAGGCCAGAGTTCAACATGATCTTAGTCTCGTCGCCGGGGAACACAACCACGCCGATGATCCACTTGGTGTTTCGGAGATAACAGCCTCGCAAAATCAAGTTGTTGATTGTGGCTGATTCTTTGTTTACCTCGCCGTCCTTTTCGTATACGACAGCGCCTTCGTATGAGTAGAGATTCGGCTGAGGGCCCTCACTTTCGATTTCGAAATTCATCTCCATGAACTCGTCGGCGCGTTTGACCTTCTTGGGGTCTGTAGAAAATGCAAGTGCTTGCTTGATTTTGAGATTGGTTTCTCCGTCGAGGTTTTTCGTCTCCACGAAGCAGCAGTTGTCCTCATCGCTAGAGGAGAGGATCAAGATGTCCGCAGGGACCTCCTCGTTGTTGTGAATACGAAGCACATCCCCTACTTTCACCTCCTTCCACGTCTTTCTCTCGAAAGCCAAGGTTTTGTCCCCGCCGTGGAACGAGGAGCGCACGGTTTGCAAGGACTTTCTGGCCATCCCGTGCATTGCGCCCGGGGCCACTGAGTGTCTTCTGAATTCAAGGGTGCTGTCGAAGCTCTTCCGCGCGCCGTCTTGCTCCGGCTGCGCCTGCTGACGAGCTTTTGCGGCCCGGCCCTTGCTGGTGGCATTGCGCTTCACCGCTCGTAGAAACGCAAGGAGTATTCTGGTGTTCCACTTCTTGAACCGCCTCCACACGGAGATTCCCATCTCGTCCACGTTTCGGTTGATATACACGTAGCCCAGGTCACTGTCCCGCACTTGCGAGAGAATGTGCGTGGCCTGGTTGTTGACCTCCATGTCGGAGGCCGTCCGCTGCGAGTCTTCCACGGAGTCTTTGAGCGCGGTGATGCAAACGATGACAATGAGCGGCACGGCCGCGAGCACCGGCGACGGCACGCCGAAAATGGAGAAGATCCCGAGGATGATGAGGAACAAGAAGTAGTTGTTGGCGATGTCGCGCGAGAACTGGTTCCAGATCGTCTTGGGGAAAAACGTGAGCGCGGTGTACTTGGCCGTCGTTATCTTGTTGCGGTGATACGTCGCCACGGGGAAGCCCGTCTCCGGGTCCAACAAGTGGTCCGGGAGATTGCGATTGAACACAATGACCCGCTTCTCGTGTCTCCGGTCCTTGGGGTCCTTGGGCTGTTTTGGGCCTGCGGGCTCGCCGCTGCCGTCTGGAGACGCGATTTCCTCGACAGCAATGAAAGAGTCCGACCCGCTGGCGTTGTCTCGCAGCGGCCCCCAGCCGTTCTTGGGGGCGTCGCGGGGCTGTTTTGTCGAGGCGTCCCGCTTGAATAGCTTCCGCAAGGTTTTGGACCGATTGAGGTTTTCTGCCCGAGGGCGCCCGGCCTTGGAGCGCGTGGTGCCCCAGCGGAGTCTCCGGGTGGGTGTGGGCTCTTTCTCGGCGGGAAACATCTCGGTCAACGGCGTGCCGGGGAAAGACACGGCATGTTCATCATTGAATGGCGAGGACGAGAGTTCCAGCGGGCTGGACTGCGGCGGCTCGAAATGTAAAGAGGGGGCGGGCCTCTGTTTTTGATTTAGGCGGGGCGTGTTCAAAATGCTATTTGCCGAGCTGGCCGAAGAGTCTTCCGAACGCCTGCCCGAGGCATTGTCCAAGAAGGGGCTCTTGGGATATGTGAAGGCGTCCATGACACGTGTTTAAAGTACAGGTGCCAGGCAGGACGGGGATATTTAGTTGCGAGGCGCTGATGCGGTTTTGGGGCAGCAAGCAGAAAATGAGAGAGATGTGCCCAGGATTGGCCGCGTGTCAAAAACCCGAAATTTCCCAGCGGACCGATTGTAGTAAGCCCAGGAGTAGTCCGAAAAAAGGAGCCGCGGGTTGAAACGCGGCACATTAGTGAGATGCGCAAGATCCGAGATATAGACTGGGTTGCGAGCCTAGTCGAAGGCGCCGAGCCTAAAACGAATAGCTACCGGGAATTCTGAAGAAGCTTTCGAGAGATCCTCGGCCCATTTTGAAAGACCGGAAAGAGATAAGACGGGGGCTAGTCGGACGATGCCCAAGGAAGGTGGAGCGACACCTAAGGGGAAATTACAGGAATGTGTGAGTCCAAGCTTGCCCTTTGCCCAAGCTTGAAGCATTCCTAACAAAATCAAGAAAATAAAAAAAACGAGAGAGGATACAGGAAACAACACAGCCCGAGCCGCAGACTCCGCTCCGCCCATGGAACGGGCATTGTTGGCTCCCTCCAATATTGATGAGCCTTGACTTGTCAAATCCTAGCGTGTACTGCCACGCGTCTCGCGCCATGCGGATCGCGGGCTAAGCACCGTGGGATGCAGGATCGGACTGGGTGCCCCGGCCCGACTGGTAGCCGAAGCCAGCCATGAGTCTGGTACTGTGACAATATTTCAGGTCCAGCTACGACACGTGTCCAGATAGAAAACAGTTTATTGAGCCTATTATAAATACAGGACCTAGGCGGAGCATGCATATGTTGGGCTGCACTGTGTAGCATTTCTGTCCCGGAACGCACGGGCTAACCGACTATCCGATCTTTGCACATAGCCAGCTGTCGCTGCAGACGCGCGCCACGGTCAAGCCGACATAGCCCGCATGCAGTACCGTATATCTTTATCAGGACTCATGAGAGCCAAGTGGCAAAAGTACCCTTTCATATATTCGCGGTGGTGATGCCATAGATAGAGTGAGAATATATTATATGACAGAATTATTCGACCTTCTCCTACCATCGATGCGTATCGCACAAGGAAATCCGTGCTACTGGATATGTCACTTTCTCGATACTTCGAAGAAATCTTGATCTGATACACTCTTTAATTCTAGACACCGCTATCACAGCTTCATCTGAGTCTCCAGAGTAATTCTCGCGCATGCAAGCGATCATATTCGTTCTGAGTGCGTGCTTCCATTGTGGGATGATGGGGACAACAAAAATTCTAAGGTAGTAGCTCTTATAATGGATATCTAAGCCTGAATACCGGCGTATGATTTTCACTAATGCCTGATACCTTGCCTCCTATTCTCTTTTGCCCGATGACTCACTCGCAGTCAATGACAAAATAAAAAGCATAGAGGACCAAAACAATTTGGGCTCCCACCTACAGACTAATAAACAGCAAGACATACCTGCGTCTCAATCAATGGGATTTTATGATACCAATAAGTACGTAGTAGAAGGAGAAGAAGGGCACCGAGACTCCTTCGTCTCGTCTAAGCGCCCGGAAAACACATCCGTATCTACTCTGCGACAGAGAAAGACCCAGCTTTCACAGACACAAACCTAACCTAACGAGCATTTACGAAGGAATGATGTTCAACAGTCGCAAAATTTCTAATGCTCTCTTTTGACATTGTCAGTATCGGGATTCGTAGAGACAATCAAGCCTTTTTGGCATACATCTCTGTCCATTCCTTGGCCACAGCAATGGCTTTGGCCTCGTCTGCTTTCCACTCCTGTGCAACGTCGTTTGCCAAGGGATCGTCGGGATTGGGGGCGCCCAACAACGCCTGGATGCTCAACAATATGGTTCGAATCTGCAAAGCAGGCGACCAGTTGTTCTTCAACACATCGAGGCAGATTCTGCCCAACTTGTCGATATTTGGATGATAGATCTTTGTCAAAAAGCGAACTTTGGGCGCACACATGGGGTAGTCATCCGGCAAAAACAACTCTAACTGGAATTGACCGTCTGCGTATGGCGACGACGAGGGCCCATCTATAGTCACCTCGAAGTAGCGTAAATTTTCTTCGGATGGCACAGCGTTGATGCCAGGGACAGGGTCCAGCACCAATCTCTCGGTTTCTTTGATAATTCTTTTGGGTAAAGCCGCCATTGATGGATGGGAATAATGAGGATCGGCCCACGACATTGCAAGGGCAAACAGAGTATGGGGGCGGTCGTGCGAAGTTCAGAGAGACCAGACTTGTATTACTTTGGCAGATAGAATGGCTACTTCACCGAGCAAAAACACATATACGTCCCATGGCACATCTGGATATTAGCTCTATGAGATGTAGTCATCTCTCGTGTACAAGATTTCTTGGCGTAAGATTTACAACTATATGTGAATCATTTAACGTGAGCACCTGGAGCACTTTAGAAACCCTCTCGGTCCACGGAAGCATCAAAGAGACAATGAGCAGACAAAAGCCACGTCCTTCTGGCTCGAATCATGCTGCCCAATTACATAGACTGGTCACTAAACGAAGAGGAACTATCACAATAGATAAAGGCCTTGAATTTGAGACTGTTTAAGATGGGTCAGTATATCCATCTGTCTCTATGGAAGTGCGACCTGTATCTAGTCATTTGAAATTGCACTAAAAGTCGTACTCTTCCTCAGCAAAAATTAACCAAGTCATATACTGAATGCTCTGTATCGGACAGTTATTTTGGTGGCTAAGGTTGCATAGCTAAGCTCCAGGAGAATTGGCGTTTTTCCAGAACATGTTGAACCTGATGCACCCAAGTTAATGTGAGAGTCACGCAGGATTTAAAAGTGCTTACACTCCGTAGTTGTCCACAGACACCCCTACTTGGCAGCAACCATCCTTTTCTTCCATACATAATACAAGTCTCTAGTAGACTTCAGGCAAATACAAAAAAAAACACAATTTCAAGATTGAAAGACAACAATCTAATCCTAGCTCCTTGGTCCTGCAAAGTCACCCTCGTCTAGAAGGTTAATCGAATATCTCCGGGTGCGTGCGCTATATGCAGTCTAAAGTATGACCTGATTCTAAGTACGAGTCTTCAACTCTTGGCTTTACGAACTCCTGCTCACATACTATTCAGCTGACTGGAAAAAGGCCATTGTGTTCAAACCTTCTTTGAGCCGTGGCCCATGTTCATATTCAACTACTGAATCAAGTGGTAACACATGCAACGACAGGTCTCTCCAACAGTGGCTGGCGTCCACTCAGCAGTCAGCTCATGTCAAAGATTATATTCGAGTATGCTCAAGTAGATCGTTGCATCTACTTACTAGAACCGTAGAGAACTTCGGGTCCGAAACATCCGAAATGATGTACCCCATATAATAGTATGCAGGTCAACGGGCTCATATGGTGTGCTTATATGCGATGATCGCCACTCATTTACTGACCCATCAAAAACTTCAACTCACAATGCCTCTTCCACAAGGCTCTCCATTCTCACACAAGATCATTGTAAGTACTATCGCTACTGCAGTTGGAATATATGGTTTCTGGCTGACAGCAAAAGACTTTGAATTCGTCAAGTTTGTGCCTCGGTCGCCCGAAGAGATCGAGATACGCAGGAAAGAAAACATCGGTCTCCAGATTAAACACCTAGAAACACGGACCTTGGATTATACTCCAGAAGCGAAAGCCCGAATTGCTCAAAGCTTGAAAGAGTATCAAACAATGACTGAAACGAAGGAGCCTGCCGAGAGCTCGGATTGAGTTTTGTGGCCCAGTTTTGACTGCGATGGGACGTCATCACTGAATGCTTTTGGTTTCAAAAGTGAGTAAGGGGGCTGCCTAATCTTTATTATTTATTACATGATTGACGGAATAACTTTTTGTCTCATACATCGCATGCAGCTCGGAGTCGTTCTCATTGTGATGCGCATGATTACTTTTTGAGAATGGCATTGCATAAATTCGGATTGACAAAAGCAGGTCTATTCCAATACGAGATAGTTTGTGTCGAAAACATAGTGTATCATAAAAAAAAATACATCCATCTTGCTATGAAACGTCTGTGTACCTCTCAATTTTAAAAAATGGACCAGAGCCGTCCTCTCAGAGGATCTATACTGATTCCGTTCAGTTTGAGTTTCATTCTGAAATTGATAAAGTGGAACGAAGCTAATAATATGCTTCTTTGGTGACGAATTGTACTCTCATTGCGGATATATATTCGGAAAGAAGGTACGAGCGAAAGATTACTGCTCCGTCATCAAGATTACTGACGCATCACAGAAATAGAAACAAATAAATTCCCCTACGCCAAGATCTCTGGGAAAATGAATACTAAGAACATACGTGATTTGACACCATTCACTTTTTTTCGACTGTGTACTTCGTACGCAATGCAAAGATCTACTCGACATATTATGAAAATGTGTGTAAATTTGGGCAGTCACAAAAGAACAAATACAACATTTAGAGGAGTGTACGCAACTTGACAATAACGTTTGTCGATTGCTTTCATGTAGTTACTTGTCTGTATAGCATAGTGTCTAATTTCACTTAAAGGAAAATGAACACAATAGGAAACATTTTGAGGGTAATCAAAGGAAGTCAATCATGTTGCTGGAAAAATTATCTACCATTAATTCAGTACAGTTAAATTGTACTGATCTACACAAGCCATGAAGCCTTGGAGTAGAGCAAAACATAACGTATCGCTAGTCGAAGAGGATGCTTGAAGTCTGTGGCCACAGTTTTCAGTCGTCAACATGCGTGAACCTGGGTGGCCTGTTTGGGTTTGCCTTTTTTTTCATTTGTGTATAGTGTAAAGACGGTAATAAAGTGGACCAGATAAGCAAATCTGTTTTTCGAAGTACGAGTTTTTTTTGACACATGAATTGATCTGCTACCTAAGCCAACGTGCTGTGACTTCCCATGACAATCAGCATTAACATTATATATTGGGCCCAATATTGTCATTTGCCCAGCTTCCGAATAAAATTTGTTTGCCCAAAAGTTCCATTTTTTGAACAATGGTGGAGCGGCGGTGTTAGCATTTCTCCTGCCCTATGATATGAGCTCCAAACGATTAACGCAAGATTCAATTCACGATTAGCGCTAATACGCAAGTCCCTGGCTAAACCACCACATTAAGCCCACATAGATTTTACGTGGCTGAACAACTGATATATGAGACTCCAGCGTGTACTGCTTGATCAATCAGACCGCACAGAAAAACGGTCATCAAACGAATTGATTCCACACACCAGCCCTAGTCTTCTCTCATAAGTTTCTTAGCCTTATAATACTTTGGTTGTAAACCCGAAGTTTATCAAGATTCCAAGACAAAGATTCATTATTCTGCCTCCATTCAAGAATCTTTAATTTGCGAGCTAGTGGCAGAAAGCTGTGTCCAATTTGGGAGGTATTTGCGAAAAACAAAACAGCCCTTTCCTTCGAGTCTTTGGACTCTAAAAATCTGGAGTTTTCCGTTTCTTCCAGATTCCGAGACCTTATCCCAAACAGAGGATTTCTCTGGAACATCTCGTTTGATGCAAGAGTTCACCGCGACGCGATAATCTCTTTAAAAACGAAGTTAATCCACGATGACAGCTGTAAGATGATCTAGATGTTAAGTGCACTAGCAAAAGCATTCGCGATATTCTGAAGGTTTATATCATCTTGTGCCGAGCTAGAGTTCACGTCTTCTCTCCTGGAACCCTCGTGAGCGTCGGTCTTTAAACCAGAAGACAAAGCACCCACGGATCTATCGTACTCCAGCGTGAGAGCCTCGAGTCTCGAAACTTGATTGGCGCTGAGCTGTGGCCATCTAGAATCGTCAAGGGCAGAGTCGTCGTTGAAGGCCGTAGCCTCAGTCACTTGTGCATCGAGGTAGTCCTCATTATCAGGTATATATGAGAGCATACTTTGCATATCATCTGGAATAGCAGAGCTCCTGTTGTTGTGAATGAAGTTCCTGTTGTGGACGGAGGTTTGGTCCTTCAATTCTGTCAATGGGACCAATGAAAACTGAAGGTTATCAAGCGGACCTTCAACAAGACATCCTCTTTCTCTGTAGTGGACAAGGAGGCGGTTCCATAATTTGTTGCGGCTCAAGGATCTTGGGTTTCCGAGAATAACCATTCCGTACTTGGCGCGAGTCAAGGCCACGTTCAAACGGCGGGGATCCGACAAAAAGCCGATGTTGCGGTCTTCGTTAGCACGCACACAGGACAAGATGATGAAGTCCTTTTCTCTTCCTTGGAAAGCGTCGACGGACTGGATTTCAACCTCTTCATATTGGGCTCTCTTGGACGCAATCAGAGTGTTGAGCTGCATATAGTGTGCGATGTAGGCCCTTTGGCCCTCGTAGGGAGTGATGACACCGATCTGGTCTGGTCTGACCCCGTCCATGAAGAGCTTGCTGATGATCTTCTCCACATTCATGGCTTCGACGCGGTTGAGATACGAGCTTCCGTTTGTGCTTATCTCCTCCTTGCCGTAGTTGACCCAGAACATCATGGGGAAGCCAGGGACAGGCCACGGAAACGTCAGGCGAGCCCAGGTCCTGTCCTCCAGCGTGACGCCATTCTGGAGCGAGCCCTCGTAGAACATGTTGGACGGGAACTCGGACAAGGCCGGGTTCATCCGATACTGGATCTCGAGCCGGGAGGGCACGTGTCCCAAAGCGATGAGTCTTTCGAACAAGGACTGGGAAAGGCCCGCCTTGCTGGCCCGCTTGTCGATGATGACGGGGCCAAGCTGGTGGTGGTCGCCCACGAGAATCAACTGCTTGGCGCCCTTGACGACGGGAATGAGGGCCTCCAACTCGCAGGCCTGCGTGCTCTCGTCAATCAACACGGTGCTGAACGGGCCTGCGAGGCGGGTGTCCATCGCCCCGATGCACGTGCAGCAGACCACGTCGGCGTTCTTCAAGATGGCCTTTTCGCTCGCGCGCAAGCTGCCCAAGAGCTTGGCGAGCTCCTTGGGAGGGAGCTCGAAGCCCTGCTTGTACTTGGCGTACAGCTTCTGGAGCTTGGCGGACAAGCCCTGGGCCGCGAGCGACAGCGAGCAGTTGTCGAGCATGGCGGAGTCGGTGTTCTCTCTGGTCTTGGCGTAGAGGCGCACGGCGTTGATGCCGGCGGCGCGCAACTTCTGGGAGAGGTGGTCCACGGCCACGTTCAGCGGCGCACACACAAGCACGCGGGTCTTCTGGTACTTGGTGAGGTAGTAGATGATGGCCGAGGAGGTGACGGTCTTGCCTGTTCCGGGCGGGCCCTGGATCAACAGCAAGGGCCGGCGCACGGCGGCCTGCAAGGCCTTCTGCTGGGACGCGTTCAACACGCTCGAGCCGGGCACCGCGAAGTTCTTGGGCACGCTGGACTTGAACTCCACGTCCACGACCTCGTGGCCCAAGATGGTATGGTACAAGTGCGCGCTGACGGACTTCTCGTCGGTGGCAAAGCGCTTGACGGCCGCCAACATGCGCGCGTAGGGAATGCCCTTCCACATGAACTCCACGGTGAAGCCCGTGGTGGCATGGGTGGGCGGCGGCAGCGGCAGGCGGCCCAACTCCACGGTGAAGAACTCGCTGCGCGCGGAAGGGAGCAGCACGATGCGGCCCATGGCCGCCCAGCTCTGCGGGTCCGCAGCGCCAAACTCGCGGTGGTGGAGCTGGAGCTCGTCGCCCACGGTGACCAAGAGGTTGTTGTTCTCGTACGTGGAGAGCACGAACTGCACCTGGGGGGCGCCCGACGGCGCGGAGCCCCAGCGCAAGCAGATGTGCTCCAAGGCCTGCGACTCCTTCAAGCTCTTGTCGCACTCGGCCTCGGCCTCCACAAGCGGCACCCACGAGTTGTGGTACGTGGCCGCGTCGTTGTAGCGCAAAAGCACCGGGAGCAAGCTCTCGGCCGGGTCGGCCACCAGGTCCATGTCCGCGATGCTGGCGGCCTTGTTCATGCGCCACTGCGCCTCGAGCTTGCGCACGCTTTCCGCGGAGAGGGGCCGTGTCTCGGCCATCTGGGCCGGCGGCGGCGTGGGCGCCACCCAGGAGAGCAAGCTGCGCCCGTCAATGAGCGGCTGCCACTCGCCGGTCTCCCAGTTCATGTCGCGCTGGTGCGCGCAGGGGATGCGGCACAAAACCACCACCACCGAGTCCTGCTTGGCGGCTACAAAGCCGAGCATGAACACGTTTTTGTTGCCGCAGTTGTAGCACTCGAGCGTCTCCGCGCCCAACGGCGACGACTCGTTCAAGCTCACCGTGTTGTGTTTGGACTGCACCAAGTGCGTGACGATGTGCGAGCCGGGGAGCGTGCCCTTGCCGTTGCAGAACCACTTTTCACACGTTCCACATTTGACCGAGGACGACGGGCAGTCGAGCCCACAGTATGTGCACACGTACGGCGAGCACGTGGCGGCCGCGATTTCGGGCGACGCGCCGTCCGTCTCCCAGTGCTCCGCCAAGGACGGGCTGCCTGCCGGCGCTGACAGGGGGGAGCCGGGTTCCATTTTCACTGAGGGGGTGAAACTAGGTCCTGGTGGGCAGAACGCTGGCGAGAATTTTGATGCGCTCCGCCTGCACACAGCAAGCCCGCGACGGGCTGCCTGCGGTGGGAGATAATGGGCCCAGCTCGGGCGTGGCCCTGGTGGTATAGTATGGGTATGGGTTTTTTTTTGTCTTTTGATTTGATGGTATTGTTTTGGTTTTTTTGGTTTTAATCTGGGTGTTTTTTGGTTCGGGTGGTTTGCGCCAGTCTATGTTTACTATACTGTCCATATTTATCTGGGTGTAGCTTCAATTAGGGTGCGTTTCAATTCTCTGTGGCTTTGAATTTGGTTTTTGGTTCTTTTCTTGTGTTGGTGTTTCTGGTTTAAGTTTTCTGGTTTTTCTTTTAATTTGCTGGCTTGGTTTTGACTTGGGTGTTTTTTGGTTCCGGTGTTTTGTTTCAGTCTATCTTTACTATATTACTGTCCATATTTATCTGGGTGTAGCTTCAATTAGGGTGCGCTGAATTCTCTTTGGCTTCGAGTTTGGTTTTGGTTTTTTCTGGTTTTTTCTCTTGACTTGCTGGTTTGGGCTTAATATGGATGATTTTTGGTTCCGGTGTTTTGCTTCAGTCTATGTTTACTATACTACTGTCCGTAGTGTAGCTTCAATTTGGGTGCGTTTCAATTCTCTGTGGCTTTGAATTGGGTTTTGCTCTTGCTTTCTTGCCCAAGTCTATCTTCACTAAATGGATGACCTTATTTCGGTCCAGTTAGTTTAGGTGTAGCTTTGACTAGATGCGCTTCAATTATGCCGTGGCTTTGAGTTTTGTTCTTGCTCTTGGTGGTTTTGGTTCCGGCGATCTTGGCTCTGGTGCTTCTGGTTTCGGTGATATAGTTTGGTCCAGCTTTCGTTTTGATGCTGTCCTCATTTCGGTCTAGCTAGTTTTGGGGCACATCAGCTGAAGCTAACCATACCCTTCTTTTAATGCGGTTTAGTGCTGCTCTTGATTTTGCTCGGTTGCTGATTGCTGCCACTTTGGTTTTGGTGTTTTCCAAGGGCTGTTTTGGAGTTCGTGCTGCTTTTGATCTGGGCCAGTCTTGGTTTGATCTCTCATATTTTAAATCTCTTCGATTTTGGTCCTTAGGTTTTTTTTTTGATCCATCTCTTATGCTTGTCTAGCTTTGGGTGCTTCGATTTAGCTTCTCTCGTTTTTTTCCATTCGTTCTCGATATTTCAAATCAGGGCTTTGTTTTGATCGTATCGTGCTGCAGTTTTGCTCCCGTATGATTTTTTCTCTGGTAAACAATATCTGGTCTCTGTTGAAACCTTCGTTTCTTCCTTTTTTTACTCGCTTCGACCTTCAACCCGGATACCGGTTCTGTTTTTTTTTTTCAATGTCCTCTCTTGTTTGTGCTTGGTGAATGTCACTTGTAGAGAAGACGATATTTGCATGGGAGCTCCGGATTATCTATTCAATACATTGCTTGACTTCAGGTTTGCTTATTTCACATTCTCACTACTACAGCTTGATGATCTACGTTATTATGGCCTCCCCAGGCCACCACTCGTAGATTTGCCAATTCCATGTCTTTCAAGCAGACCGTGTAGATTCCTCAAGAGGTTGATGCGGAATAAGCGCATAACGGGGTCAAAATAATTTATCCCAAGCATAGTCTCACTTGTATTCGAAAGACAATTCGTACACGCTCATCAACTATGCCGTTATACTCTTCGTGGGAACCTTTATAGCGCGTCGACAGGCCGTCTTAATGGAAGGTGACGGGCCGAGTTTTGGCACTAGGTATACATTTTAAAGAGCTTTTTATTCAACGATGAAGACTTCAAAACAGATGGTACATCATTATTTATTGATCGCGTTAACAAGCCTATATCAGATTCTTTGAATCATTCCCCAGCTGGCCCCAAGACAGCTACTGACATCGAGTCAGTGCTTTAAAATGGTAGTGCTCGTGAAAACTTGACCGCCCTGATTTTAAAAAATGTCGATCTCTTCAATAAATTAGTTTTTTATTCCTCCCTTTCGGCCGTGTACTCGACATAGCGGCCCAATTCACATAGCCCGCAGGTGCAGCGAATCAGGGGTTTTCATCACGTAGGTAACTCAAAGTGTTCAAACAAACGTAAATCATAAAACGAATATCTGTTTTATGTTCTCATAATAACTAGTTTGGTTCAACTGGCCATGCATTCCATCCATCCTGCACGTACTAGACACTCGTCTGAGGCTGGAATCGTTTCAGGATGAATGCCAGCTTTGACTAAAGTTAGACGCATGATTTCGTCCGGCCACATCTGCTTCCTCGGGTCGATATATTGAGCCTATCGTTTTCGCTGTATGGTTGTACCAATATACACCGCCCCATCTGCAAATTCTGCCTTCCCCGCTTTTCTATTGTAGATCCGGCGAACAATCACCTTATTGCGTGGGGAATCCTGAAACACGCCACACCGGAATTAGAACACAATATGCAGTTCCCACACGGAATGTAAGTTGCAAACCTACCAAAGCTTCCTGAAAACTGTCTTGGCACCTGAACGGCCGTCTCACAATACTTCGGCATTATCTCATGAGTGCTTGGAAAGGTAATTTCGTGGGCAATTGTCAACAATGCATGCGGACTTTCCCAAATTTTCATCCTGACGTATTCTTTTGGTATTGCTTGACTAGGAGGGAATCCTGTCAGCGAAAAAAAAAAAAAAACAATCATGAAGATTAAGCCTGCTAGTTGTGAATGAAGCATTGCTGACTCAATTTCATGAGTTAAGCTCAGCAATACAATGGCCCAAGTGGTGGAGGGTGAAACTACTCCGGAGCGTCGCCGAAACCACAGTGCGCCGCGTGTATTAAGCGCGGAGATACGCCACATACTTCTATAAAAAAAATCCTCAGATCGGTTACATTTATCCAAATTAGGTCCAGTCATGTGTGCAGTATGCAGGTAGTGTACCGTGTCTCAGCAATCACCATTCATCGTATCCGAAGACAAACCAGTGGTGCTTTCACAGTTCATTCCAGAATTACTCACAGGCCATTACAGCTGTCTGACTTTTAGGCACAAGTGGTTTTTTGAGTTAAGTGTTTTGTGAAGTGGGGGCGTCGCTGTACGTTTACGCCACATTTCAGCGCTACATCTTCTAAGTAGTGAGCCGCGCATATTCTCTGTTTGCCCATTCCAGCCAGCAGAATAGAACAAGAATTCAGCATTCTCAAGCCAAAGAGAGCTGTTCTCCATTTCCATACGCCCAGACTCGCAAAAAAATCTTTATTGCCTCTCTGCCCATTGAATTCCCATCTTCATTTCTTGCTCAATCTCGGATTTTGCCAGTTCTACTACTATCATGTCCAGCTCGCCATTTCATACGAGTCTACTAAAAGACAAGGCCACCCCCAAGTGCGAGGATGTCATGGTATCACGCGATTCTGTGTCCTGGACTCAAATGGCATATGTGTACATCAACAACCAGGGCAATATTGTGGGTGCTGATGCCAACCAACGTCAAGAGAGTATCTTGATATCTGGGCTTCAATCGTGTCACGTCCTGATAAACACTTTGGCAAGTACTCATCACCTCCGGCGGCGATTTTCGAAGAACAAGCCTGAGTTTGAGATGAACGGACATGAAGCACCGCCTGCGCTATTCATACGGTCCAACAACAACGATAAATTGTATTTGGAATTGACATCCCAGCCCCAGTTCATCTCCATTCTCTCTTCTTTGTTAGCATGGCAAAACTTGAGGCCCCAAGGCCTCGCCAAAAAGTGGTTCTCTGAAAGAAAAGGGCAGGATCCTCATCAGTCTCCCTCGGACTCCCACGAATTGCTCGTGTGTCGGTTTAAAATCTACGGACCTATCCCGAGCAAGTCAAAAAGCGTACACCTCGTGAGCGGGCCTCGCGCGCCAGGTTATTTTGAGGAGCTGCATTCCCCTGGATCTTCGGGATTCTCAGCAAGCTCTCTGGCAGAGGGCCTGGTTCCTGAGGGCTGGTTCTATACCATGGGAGTACTCAAATCCAATGGCATGCTTAACTTCATCACTGAACTAGATGGCACCTTGCTCTATTCCATTGACATAAACTGTGTATTTTCTTCTGAAATTCGCCAGGTTCATCATTCCATCTGCCACTCTCCAAACACCTTGTTCATCGGCCATATCAAAGAATTACGGCTCAACAATGTTGTGAAGAGCACGACAACAATCACACCAGAAAACACATCTCCAAGCTTGTTGCTGAAGGAGGGTCGTCCTGTGGTAAACAACTCGCGAATTTTGATCGAATTCCCTCTACACATTGATCTAGAGGACTGGTTTGTGGGTTTGAACTATTTTTGCAGACGCGAATACATTGGGATTTATGACGAGAATTCGAGGTTTTTGACCCCTTGTCAGACTCGTGTTGTTGACCTCGAAGGAACTATTGATCCAGGCAACTCTTCTGAGTCTGGTATGGAGAGTGAACCTGAATCCGCAGTAGATCCTAATAGGACCTATACTTCAATTGGGACATCTGAAACTAGGAATCGGCATGGATTCAATAATACTGGAGGAGAAAGCTTGCCACAGAAATCTAAACCGAAGCTAGCTGACTTCACAAGAGATCATCTTCAAGTTTCAAAAAGAGTGACTCTTGATATCATCGAGGCAAACCTTGGCAATATTCCAATCAACATTGGTTCCGACGAAAAGGTCTACGCAGAAGTACTCATGTGGGGATATCCATGGGCGCGAACCTCGATTGTAAACTATACTCAAAACCCTTTCTGGAAAGAAGAGTTTTCGACTGATCTTCCGGTTCTGACTCAAATATTGCGGATTGTCATAAAGCAATGCTCAGGAAACAAAGGCTACTCACATACTGATAGAGTGCTTGGCCAGGTCTACATTACTCCTGACATTTTAACTCAAAAACTACGAAACTTGTCCACAATGATGGTGGGAACAAACAGTGGAGATAACATAAGCGTTCCTTGTCTGCAATCAGTATCCAGCAATTTAGCTGCAGCTGCGATGGCGGCGCCGCAAAACAATAATATTGTCCGCTTATCAATTTATGACGAAAACAATTTACCTGTGGGAAAGTTGCTTCTCACAGTTGATCTCAAGGAATACTTTATATTGCCACCTGCAGAGTTCCGCAACTTAGAAAACATGTTATCCAACTGCCCCATGAAGCAGCTTATTGAATTTTGCAACAATACAGTGAGTACCAGCGAGATTGAAAATGTCAGTTTCATTCTCCTAGACATTTTTCAAAGTCTTGGGATTGAAGAGGAATGGTTTAAATCGCTTATTGATGTTGAACTTGTGGCTGTTGATAAAATTACCAGGAGAAATTATCAACAAAAGAAAACAAATCTGGCTCAAAGCACTAACATTTTTAACACCTTGTTCAGGGGCTCGTCCATTTTCACAAAGTCATTGGAGAAATACAACTTTAGGGTCGGACAAGAATATCTTGAGAAGGTGTTTGGTAACTTTTTCGAAAAAATATCGACTGAAAACAAGAATTGTGAAATTGATCCAAGGTACATCCGATTACAAGAAAAGGCTAAACGAAAACGCAAAACCCTGGATGAAAATGCGGATTTTGATGACAGCGATTCAGAAAGCTACGATTCCGATGAAGAAAAGCAAGAAGAAGAACGAATCAAACAGATTGTTGAAGAAAATTTTGTGAATTTGTGCGCTTATACAAAGGATATCTGGTCAAAAATTTATCTCACATCCAATGACTTGCCCTCACAAATCAGAATTCAGTTAAAGAATTTCAGAACCAAAGTTGACCTTGTGTGTGATCCGGAGGATAAAACCACGTCATTGAATTGCATGAGCGCATTCGTATTTCTTCGTTTTTTCTGCCCAGCAATTTTGAATCCGAAATTGTTCTATTTGACAAAAAATCATCAAACGGGTCAGGTTCAAAGAACTTTAACTGTAATTGCAAAAATCCTATTAAATCTTGCTAACAGACAACAATTTAGCCCCAATAAAGAGGCCCATTTGGTCAAGATGAATGAGTTTTTGAGAAATCACGAACACGAAGTACTTGACTATTTCGATAAAGTTAGCGGGAGAAGAAACGACTTTAATGAAAAGATTTTGGATTTGAGTCATGAAATGAAACGATTTGACTTGGGATTGAGCGGAAACTCGGCCTCGAATGAACTTCCTACCACACCTTATCTTATCGATAAGAACTTACGTCTAACGGAACTAATCCATCTTTTGCAACTTAATGGAAGTTCATCTCGCCACCTGAGAATGGCCCTGTCAGCATCGCTCAATAGTTTTGCCACCACAATTAACCTGGATATGTCAACGAGACAAAACAGCGTGTCCGCAAGATCACCACTGCTTATGATACAGCATGAAAGAGTGTCAAGCCTTGAAAGTGGCAATGATATTCGCCTCAATAATGACCGAAACGTATATCAAATTGGATCCCTAGAATTCGAAAAGTCGGACTTTTTGGATCTAGCCGGTGATAATGAAACGGAAGGGTTCATCAAGTCGTTGTGCCGAAGCAACGAAGAAATTTTCTCGTTTATAAATTCAAACGTGACACTTAAGGATCTACAGGTGGAGAGTGCCAATTTGGGCAAAAAAATCAATATCTTGGCTGAAAGATTGCAGCAAGCCGAGGACTGCTCCAATTTGAAACACGACGATACCCTTTGGGAAGCCTTCGTCGACGATATCTTGCAGAGAGCTTGTCTCAACCTTAACAAAAATTGCATTGCCTATTATGAGCCCGTTTTTCAAGGCGCCCGGCCCCCTAACCATAAACTTTTGGTCGACAATGCTCTTTCTGCTGTGAAGCTTAAAATTACATCGGAGCTCAAAGGAAACACATCGGATACATTTCCGTCAGGAGCAATTACGAATATGATGAGGCGTAACACTAAAAACCCATTCAAAAGGTGGCTTAAGAAAGAATGATGTGCCTGAATTGTTCCAAAATTCGAGAAAATATCTATTGCTATTCACGACTCGAAAGTCGCCCACCTTATTACATGGCGTGTTATTCTGGTACAATTGCTTACTTAATGAAAAACCGAAGTGTTGCAAAAATAAAGTATGGGGGATCAAACATCTCCCAGGATTCTCAAAAATTTGACGTAGATGAATGTTTATACCCCATACGACATATGTGCTCGATAGAGACGACACGTGGTCATTCGGAAGGCTTCGGAAAAGACAGTCTAATTTCCCCTTTAGATAATCATACTCGCCACATACAGCAATAATTATAAGAATGACGAAACAAAACAATGCAGAAAAAACAATCGTTTTTTAAAGGCACCTCAATTGCAGATAATCAATTATATGTGAAAACTGCGAGCCTCCTCGCAGGGCAACAAAACTATTTCTCCCTCAGCCTCCGAGGACTGCGGTCACCAAATCGCGGTCCGCACAGGGTAGTCAGAAAGAAGAAAAAAACCTCGTATATCCGGCAACACCTTTCGAACTAGACACGGGTCCGCTCTCTAGCCAGTCAAATTTATTCTCAGAGCATAATCAAAATGGCTTCTGAACAAGAAATTCTTGCCTCTTATCCACAAGTGTCTGCTCCTTCTGGCCAGACAGGGTATACGTCAACTTTAACCGACGAACAAAGACAGATCTTGGCGGAATTCAGATCAAACTTGGAAAAACTTGGATACACCGAACGTCTAGATGACGCCAACTTGCTCCGTTTTTTGAGAGCTAGAAAGTTTGTTTTGGAAAAGGCCACGGCTATGTTCGTCGACTGTGAGACCTGGAGAAAGAACTACGGAACAGACACCATCTTGCAAGATTTCCATTACACCGAGAAGCCACTCGTAGCCAAGATGTACCCTCAATATTACCATAAGACAGATATTGATGGTCGTCCTGTGTACTTTGAGGAGTTGGGAAAGGTGTACTTGCCAGATATGTTGAAGGTCACGACGCAAGAGAGAATGTTGAAGAACTTAGTGTGGGAATATGAGCTGTTCACTAAATACAGAGTACCAGCATGCTCCAGGAAACAGGGCAGCTTGGTCGAAACTTCCTGTACCATCATGGACTTGAAAGGAATCTCGATTTCTGCAGCGTATCAAGTTGTCGGATATGTCAAAGAGGCATCCAAGATTGGGCAAGACTACTATCCTGAAAGAATGGGAAAGTTTTATTGTATCAATGCTCCATTTGGATTCTCTACTGCTTTTAAGTTATTTAAGGCCTTTTTAGACCCTGTGACTGTGTCCAAAATCCATATCTTGGGCTCATCATACAAGAAAGAATTGCTCAAGCAAATTCCCGCTGAAAACTTGCCCAAGAAATTTGGTGGAGAGTCAGACGTCACCGAGGAACAGTTATATTTGAATGATTACGGTCCTTGGAGAGATCCTCAATTCATTGGCCCCGAGGGTGAGGCTCCACGGGCATTTGAATGATTTGCTTGATTAATAGCTTCACTAAGTATAATAGACCGATTTGTTTAGCTGTTCATCGTAATACATTAAATTTTCAAGCTTTCAACTTCAATGATATAGCTTCAGTGGTCCATCGAGTATTGTTAGCTAAATTCATGTTGCCGATCACTTCATCTCAATTATTCAAGCTTTAAGAAACAAAACACAAAAAAAGCTAATGTTGAGCCAAAAAATGTTTTTCTGGTTTTGTTGTGGATGTCGTTTTGTGCAACATAATGTATTACTCTTAGTTTGTAGCCAATATCTTCACGATGCATTATTCACTTAGGTCGTGAAGAGTTATTCTCATCGATCTTCTCATGGTCAGTAGTTTTATCGAGCATCATTTTGATACTCCAGTCAGGATCTTCTGAAAAAATCTACTCTTCTAACCCACTGATACTTTCTGAAATTTCTTATGGTTCTCTAAAATCGACAATGTCTGATTTTGCCTATTTGTTAAGTCTAGACGAGCGGATTTATTTCTGCTTCGACTATAAAAAGACTTGCAACTTTTTACAAAATTGCTCCCATAAAACCTTGCAGACAATTTTATCGTCTTTCAAATAAAGGAATGATTACATGCTACCAAGTGTGGGTCTATAAAGCTTAATAAACGTTGTCCGGTCCAAAAACAGTATGCTCTTAGTAGGATGGGCGTGAGTAGCGTAACAGTGCGCAGACCAGCACTTGGTCTATATTTGGGAGCTCATAAAGTAATTCGAATAAATATTGAATATTCTTGTTCCTGTGAAAGGACGAAACCAGTCAGAAAACGGACCGGAATACAATTCTTGCTAATTTTTTGGCAGAGAATGTTTTATAGAGTCGCTAATTCCTCCTGACGTTGAGAATTCAATATTTTTCAGGTTCTTGATAGTTCAAGTTAAACGGCTATTTGTATATTTTCAATAAAAGCATCCGGAGAACAAAAGAATTCTCCTAGTCAAGACATCTACTGAAGTTGTGGCTCATGAGGTTGATATAATTACCTGTCTAAAATACAAGGAAGGTGTCAGTGCAGTATTGACTGCAGACATGATAACAGTAATGCTATCTTGTCAAAAGCAATACTGAACAGCCTCGTAGAAAATTCAGCTTCACCATTCAAAACTTTCAAAAATAAAAGGCTTCGGGAAGATATCTCAACGTAATCGTCCCCTCACAATGAAAGAAGAATGTATATCTCCTTTTGGGTTCAACTTTCCGTTCCAGTTTTCAGTTTTTTTTTACTAAACTAGTGATTATCATTGCTTATGCCGATTAATGGTATTTTTTTTGCCAGTCACTGTGTTCCGTTTGTTTTTGTGAAGTTTTATTTTCTTGACATACAAACTACAAAATCTTTATAAAGTCTTTCACCCAAAAAGTCCCTCTCAGAAAACAAAATAAAAATGATCACATACAGTGACCAAAATAAAAGTTGAATACCTTACTGATGATAATTTTAGTTAGCCGCCAAACCCATAGTAAATTGTTAATGTATCAATAGACTAACAATTAATGAGAAGAAGTTGCAGCCATGCCAATGATCCTGTATTGAGCGTGCACCATGAGAGTGATATCTGGTGCCGACACTTCATAAGTGGCCATACAACCGTTTATAGTCCAATTCAAAGTAACCTTGACTTACTTATGACCCCAGGAAAAACAAAACTCTGAGATAAAAAGGGGGCAAAGCTTTTTAATGAAATTTTTTGTGATAAGAGTTTTTTCGCAAAAGTCCCATCACGTCTCTCAGCTCGCGCTCGCTTAGAGACCAAGGCGCGCACCACTCAAAATAGAGAACCGCGTCTCGATCAATTCCTTAATTGTATCACAGAAAATAGTACAGTCCATACCTAGCTATCATGTCCGACTCAGATTTTGTTTTTGGCGAGTCGCTTCTTTTTCTGCACACTTCTCCTGCCACACTTTCTACTCCAGATTCGGCAGAAAGACCGCAAGACACAGATACACTTGATGATGGTTTGGAGTTTTCACAGTCTCTTCTTTTCCAGCAACACCCACCTCAGCCACTTAATACTCTATCACGACAGACACCTGAAAACTTGAACAAACATGAAAGAACTAAAATGGTAAAGCTCCTAGATGGATCCACTTTGGAGCTCCGCCCAAGACGCAAAAAACAAGTCATCATCGAAATTGAAAAAGATTCAGATGATGCTATACTTAACATGGATAAACTTTATGAACGCGTGAATAAAAGAGAGGAGCTTCGAAACTCACAAAAAGAGATACGTGCTTTGAAGCAGCAGAGTCAAAACATCAGAACCTCTGAACTGCTGCATCTATGGCTGGAGAAATACAAGCCAAAGTCGTTCATGCAGATATGTTCAGCTGGTAACGAGCGGCAGTACTGGCATGTTAAGAATTGGCTTAGTAAATGGGGACCGGCAGTTTTTGGTCATGAAAAGAGTGATAATGAGCCTCTTGACAGCTTGGGTAGACCTTTACGAAAGATCCTTTTAGTGCATGGACCGCCGGGTATTGGGAAGACAGCAGTCGTTCATTTGTTCGCACGTCAAGCGGGATACTGTGTTGAAGAGCTCAATGCGGCCAACAGTATGAATGCTTTACAAGGAGCAGAAGCCTCAGACGGTGCTGGTAGATTTGCCAACGCCACCGCTGCTTTGAAACTTAAAGTCAAAAATGCGCTTACAACTAATTCAATCACCTCAAATGGGAAACCAACTTGTCTCATTGTTGATGAAATTGATTCCACTGCCAACGCTAATGAAATCGTGAAGGTTCTCTCTGAGTTGGTCCGTGTTGACCAAGCCAATAGAAGAAAAAAAGAAGACAAAGAACTAAGGAGAGACTCGAAGAAAAAGTCCAGTAAAAAACCTTTTTCTTTGAATCGTCCTATAATATGCATTGCGAATGATATGTATAACACGGCAGCAAAATCTGGTGGCCCCAATCCCATGGAAATTCTTAGACCCTTATGTGAAATCATCGCCTTCCGGAAGTCAACAACTGGTTCAAGTGTGGGAGAAAAGATCAATGTATCTGCACAGAATTCGGTCATAAGATTTCTTATGAAAATTAGTGAAAACGAAAATTTAGGACTAGACCGCAAAGAGATTGCTGAGGTCTTTGAGATATGCGATGGTGATATACGTGCTTGCATCAACTACTTACAATTCTCCAGTCGCAAACTAGACTCTGATTTACATTCGTTTACCCCAGACGGTGAATTCTGCAAGAAAGACTCTCTGGTTTCGTGGTTCACGTTAGTTGATCAAATCTTTAGCCGGAATCAGACTCTTTCGAAAGAAGAAAACTTCGAGAAAATGCTTAACCTTGTATTTTCCGGCGAGGGCAAATCAGCCGCAGCTTTTTCCCTCGACAAAGTCGTTAGAGGATGCTTCAACAAATATCTAGATGTTGTACATCTACAAGATGATTCTGTGGTGAGGCCTGCAGAAATAAGTGACTGGCTATTCTTCTATGATCTACTCACAACCCAGAATTTCAATTCTCAGTTCTATCCTACTCTAACTAGTTTGAAGTTCTGGTCTTTGTTCAGTGATATCAATCCACAGAAATTCAGAGATAGTGATGGTTTGATTCCCAACGCACGAAACCTAGATTTCAATTCACGTGAAGTATTGAAACAGAACAGGTCCATCGTGAAGAAGCTTGCCGATCTGGTACCTGTCAATTCCAAAGTGTCACTATGCGGTATGTCATCTAACGGTAGCTTCTACGCATCTGAGTTTATTCCCTTTCTCGACATTATGCTTTCACCAGAGATCGGTTCTTCCAAGTCCAAACTATCACTCAAATCGCATGAGGCAATTTTGATCGAAAAATTGGCAGATTTGATAAAGAAGCTCGACATCAAGCTAGAGTCTCAACGAGATATTGAAACAAACGAGGTATACTTAATGTATGGACCAGACTGGGAGAGTATGACAATGTTCACGAGTGGAGAGCAAGACATCGATCAGAAAAAGAAGTCGTTGAATATCAAAAGACAATGGCTCTTTCCATTACTACAATCAGAACTTGATTCGCTCGCGAGCACAGGGCTACTTAAAAGACAGCGGGCCGAAATGGACCAAGAGAAGAAAGAAGCCAGCCAGAAAAGAACAAAAATGGCCACTTCGCTTGATTTTTTTAAGGGAAGATATGATGACTTGCTGACGAAAGTTGCAACGGCTGCTAAGCCGATCAATAGAGAAGCAATGAGAATTTGGGTGAAGCATCACGAAGGATTTTCTAATGCTGTTAGAAAAAACATTGGATGGCACGAACTATGGAACTGAGACGATGTGGGGGTATGTGCGAAAGGCGTTGTTATAGAGGAACGTAAGTCAATATTTAGTTGAGTAATTCATTTACCATAAAATTGCGGGTCTTAAAACATCCCTCCCAATAGCTTCGGAAGGTCTATGTTGGCGTATATGTGGCCTTATTTACTTCTAATGTAAGGTCCGTCAGATATCTTGTCCAACCCCTCATAGAATGATCTTATACAGGGTTTTCCCGATTCATTCCCGTGATCGGATACTTAAGCCAGATATGATTCCCTATGAAGATTTAGGACGCCATTCATAAATAGGAATACAAACACCCATATATCCCGCGAAGTCCCTCACATCAGATACTTACTCAAACAGTACGTCCTATTTTAGAAACCCCATTATGCGCACCGTTCCCTTCCGCGCATTATGAAGCCATAGACAATCTACCTGCACTGTGGAAATATCCAAACTAGCATGAACAACTATTTCTCGGACTTCGTGAGTAAATTCGGAGGACATACTTGGGGATCGACCCTGTACAGCGAGGTTGATAGCAAGGTAAACAACACACCTCGAATTGGATTTGTGACCCTTTACAATCCTTCTTGGGCAAACGAAAATGACGAGAGTCTTGATGGCCTATCCAAACAAGTTTTATTCTTCGTGGCTCCTCGAGCCACAGACAACCAAAGCTTTGACTCTAGGGCTCTGGAAGAGCTAGGTTATAATCCCGTTCGTGAGCACTTAAACATTGTTGGACTTCTTCGCGGTACATGCTCTTTGATGTCGGATTTCGGATCAACGGCTGGACCGGTCACAATAGACATTAAAAATGGCGCTATCATCGACATAGAACTAGAAAGCGGGTTCTTTCTTGCTATATCTTTGGTTACAAACACAGATGAAAAACAAAAGAGAAACATCTGTGTGAAACAGCTCATGAGTGCAGCCCAAAAGAATCACAGAATATTCGAATTGATTAACCTGCCCTTAACAAATCTTGTACAACTATATGGAAGAAAGCAATCGAGTGAATTGCTCAAAAATTATTGGCAGGGTTTCTTGAATAATTTCAATTTTGAGCAGGCCACTTCGTTCGGACCTTCAAAGATCTTGTGGCCAAACCGTCTTAATACTCGCGGATTTTTTGATTTTCTCCCTAAGAAGTGCTACAAAAAATCGTCAATAAGACTAAATAAAGCCATTTTATCAGAGATTGATAAATTGGTTCTTGACAATAATGTTAAGCCTTCGGGGTACATCGTGGCAAGCATGGACACGCTTTTGACCAAAAATTCGGGAATTATCCACATGAATTTAGGCGAGAAAAAAATGCTAGATAAAGATTCAGTCATTTGTGTCTATGAAATGTTAGAGGATGTCAACGCAAGCAACTGCCTTAATTCTCTGTTCTTTTCTCAGCTAAATAACTCTCAGGATATTTATACTCTGTTGAGCAACAAGTGGCAGCGTGCATCTGAGACCCAAGAGCACCAACTGGCTCATTCGCAACCTGAAGAATCTGAAGATGAGAGCTTACAGACTAATGAGTATCATATTGATGCTGTTAATGCTCTTGCAATGCTTAATCCCCTCAAACTTTCCGAGTCACTTGTTTCCCTGCCTCTCAATAGCACGTTGAGAGGGTTCAGGAGCCTTGGCCAAACAGTCACAGAACAAGTGCATGAAGCTCCAAACTGGTTCAATCGAATGAATTATTTTGCAACCACTCATGAATCTGAAAATAATACTGTAAGTGCAAACCAAGATGACAACATTCCGAGTGTTGACGACGGAGAATATTTCCTAGGACTAAATGGAGATGAAATCACAAGGTTTCTAGTTCACATCCCAACCATTTCTCACAACAGTTCCTCGAATATATTGGAGTACCTGTTGGTAGCTTATAGACGAGGAGATATAATAACTGTGCTTTTCTATGAATCCGGATATGAGGTTCTAGACAGTGAGTCTTTCTATTTGGATTTGGAATCATGTGTGCTAAACCCCTTAGCAGAAGTTATCAGAGAAAATGACCAAGACCTCTTTGCACCCTTGGAAAACAGTGTGGGCTCTTTACTAGAACCAATTGAAGCAGCAGTACATTCTAATACCGAAGAACAAGAGTACGGCATTGATAACAATTTCTTCTTTATTATTTATGACTCAGAGAACAAGTCTTACGAAACATCACTTCCAGATTTCCAGGTAGCGAGGCCGAAGTTCCGAGACTTTGAGCAACAAAAACCACAATTGGAACGGATTATGTTTCATCTTCATGATCACTTGGTTAAGCACTATATCTTTGAGACCAAAGAACGCATTTTTCAGACAGACGGCATGGTTTGCGAGCAACTTCATAAATTCTCCAGTAGCAAACATAATGATTGGCTATTCTACTCCATGCGACATGAGAAAAAAATCATAATCATCATTCGAGACTCAAGCTACAAAGTTAAATCAAAACCTGTTTTGAACCCGGAGAAAACGTACCTCATGAATATCGCTGACAGAGTCTACGGTGCAGCCAACTATGGATTTTTAGAAATCTTAGGCGGAGATGTTAAAGTCTGGCTCGGAGGGCTAGGTATGGGCCCTGAAGAAGAAAACATTGAATGATTGAATGTTCATTGCAAGACATGTATAGTTTATCATCAAATAGGCTGTTTCAGTGCTGAGAAAATGATCACGGGGTCTTACCCACCCACTTCAAGAAGTTGGGCACATCCTTGGCAACAACTGAGTTTATAGACGACCTTGCGAGCCATTGAGGCACATTGCCTTTGGCATCCGAACAAGTTGTCATAAGCCACAGAAGATTTGTACCATCATACTCAAGTCTTTCCACTGAAGTATACTGTGCGTCAATCAAGGTGGCATCTTTTGTAGCGTTTGGGATCAATGATGGATCAACGGCAATACTTATAACAAAAGCTGTGCGTTCATCGGTGCTTTTCAAAATATGCACTAAATTGCTGAACCTGCGTCTTTTCAATGGCCACTGCAACTTATAAAACGTCTCGACTAAATAAGAGAAGGATTCGTATCCCTCTGGTGTATCCTCCAATGTGTATGCAGAAATATCGAAGTCATACAACTCTTCAATATAGTGCTGTTCATGAACCGTATGACAGTCTTGTAAGTCCTTGGTCGAGCCAATGCTGTACTTGAATAATTGCTCCCACAAACGTTTACGCCCGTCTGGAGAGAGTTCTTCGAATGTGTTCAATCTGGCGACCCAAAAGTCATTGTTCAAGTGGTCCTTCGTGCGAACACCAACCTCGATCTTTTCCTGAGTTTGCGGCACATCGTACTTATATATTCCGGCAGCTTTCCAGCTTTGAATCAGATCTGCTATATGCGCTGCGTTTTCTAATAACAGGCTGGAAGTCACAGTATCAAGGGATTTGAGAGGTGTAGAATTCATGTGGGGCGGGATTGGGAAGAGAGTTGACGATACGCGACCGTGCGGCGCTTTCCGCTATTAGTATTGAAAGCACAGCAACCTAATTTTTGCCACCTGAAGCAAATCTTCAGATTCCCAGGGGATTTTGGTGCACAACTTCTGGTAAATCTCTCATCCTTTTTTTGTAACCCATGCTTGACGTAATACATCTTCGTCGTTTACTCTCCAATTACGAGACGTCTAACTAAAACTTTGTTTAGTGGTGTTGTCTTACTTCATGCAGCACATTCAGGGGATCATTCAAATTCTTTCGCAGCTAAAAGCTCGGGTGTGCACCGGCCCTTGTCTTCTTTAGTTTCGGTTGCCTACTTTAGTTCATTTGTCCTTTTGGAGGACAGTCTTCGGTGTCGATACACGTCCCTCAGAAACTCTTGTTGTTAAAATTTTACAAGTTTGCTACGACGTCTTCGGATATGCATGGAAGACTAAAGCTATGAGGCTGCTGACTTCGAACCAAAAGATGAATATGTTCATGTCCTAATTTTATAGTCTTTAAACTCATGGTTAGAGTGGTCGAAGCGAAGTAGGGAGATAAATAAACTGAGGCGCAATTGAAAAACAGCTTTTCTAATTGCTTTATTTGTCTTAAGCTGGAGCATACATTCTACTATCTGCAAAATGCCTTTTTTGTCTAGATATGGCTCCATCAATGCAAAAAACAAGAGCGTGGCTTTCTTGATATTTGGGACCAAATCATAAGCGCGGGTTTGAAGCCACGCGGTTACACGACCTTGTGGCTCGACAAGTGCAGTGCTGCGGCTCCGCTATTCTTGAACGACGTTAGTGCGATGTCATTATAAATAATGCCCCAAGGAACTGTGAACGCCATTCTGATAGTAATTCTGGCTTTATCCTTTTACGCATTTTTCACCATGCTGCAAATCAACTTCGAACAATTGACTTCCTCTCAGGCTTCTCCATCTTGGACCTGGACACCCGAAGAGATCTTGCGAATTGCAAAAGAGATTGTGGCAGCCGAAGTGAGCTTTAACGATGGCATTGCAGGAATCAAGGAACCATCTGTCAGCAATGTGTTGATTCCAACGATAAACTTTGGGAACGAAAACTCAAAAAAAGAGAATATGGTCACATTTTATCAGTATGTCTCGACTGACAAAGAAGTGAGGGACGCTTCCACGAAAGCGGAACAATTATTGGATGAAAACTCGATTGAGCAAAGCTCTAGACAAGACTTGTTTGAGGTTTATAACAAGTTGTGGGAGAATATTAAAGACGATCCCAATGCAACTGATGAGGAATCTCTCAAGTTCTTAGAAAAGGTGGTCAAGGGCTTCAAAAGAAGTGGCTTAGGCTTACCTAAGGACAAACAAGCAGAAGTTAAGAAACTT